CTCATCTAGTATGTCTACACAGCAGCATTATATCAGAATAACTGACATTAGTTCAAAATAACAAATACCTTGCCTACACTGCAAGCCTTTATTTTGAAATAATGGCAAGCTGGAGAACTTCTTAGTCCAACCCCTGTAACCTTCATTTTACCAGGCGTAAGGGAAGTCAAAAGAAAAGTGTTCTTCCTTCAACTTCCTGCTGTGTAGACAACACCCGAAAGCCGAGTTTAAGCTATTGACATAACTCAAGTTGCGTAGCTTAATTCAACTTTAGCCCTGCTGTGTAGAATACCCCTAGATAGCTGCTTAGTTTTACAAGAGGCTACAGAGAAACCATTAGCAAAGTCAGCACCAACTAAAAGTTCTTACAGACAAAGCCTTATTTGTATTGTTCCATATACACTGAAGTGTAAGCACATTTTCCAAATTATTTAAAATTATATGGTCAAAATGAGAAAATGAGCAATTTTTCAAGTAATAGAGCTCTGGAATGCTCTTTATGTATCTTTATGTTTGATTTTGTAAGCAAATGTGAGGTGAAATTTGGCAGTACCCAAGACAAAGCAGACTCCTAGAAGAGGGACAGTAGTCTGAAAAGGTTGAGTGCCACGGCCCCAAAAGACAGAGAACATTACTCTTTGTTGATCCCTTCACTTGCTCAAACCATCCTGCTACAGTGTTGTCTCTAAGTTAGCACTGGATTAGAACAGACTTGCAATTGAGAAGCATTAGTTAAGAGAGTGTATTAATAAATCCCTGTTTACAAATAGCAATGTCCATCCTTAAAGGTCCGAAGGTAATTTCTACAAGCCTTAATCAAACAGGAATGGAAGTCTGTCAACTGGTGGGTGGCAAAAGAGTAAGATGTATAGAAAGCTAATGATTGTTTGTTGTTTTTTGTGTTGTAAAGAACAAGCTAAGAATCTTGGAGACAAAAGGCTGCTAGGCCAAATGACCCAAAGATTTGGTGGTGCTTTAAAGAGCTGTTTACACGGGAACTTTCTGAAAGTGAAATGGGAATGTCTGACACTGGCCATGCTTATTTTGGACTTCAAAGCTATCACTGGATGCAATACTACAACTGGGTGATCTGTCATCGCTTCTATGATGTTTTGGAATAACAACAATCTTTTCCCATGCTATACATTAAAAGCTAGACCCCGGAAAGCTGTGTTATAGATTACCTAGTCCATACCACTTTCCAAAGAGACATTTCCCATTTATTAGCCTTTACTCCTGCCTGGATTTAAATTGTTTTCCAATACCTCGCTTGCCAAGAACTTACTAGGATGATTACTGTCATATACACCCTGCCACAGGACCCTATGCTGGGCCCCAGCTCTGTTTCCACCCTATGGTCCCACCCCCAGACCGTCTCACTCACCTGCCGCAGGTGTTTCAGAAGTTCAGTCGCCTCCTCCTGTTTTCCTTGCTTCACCAGCAGCAGCATGTCCTGGATCATGCTGATCCGGCGGTGATAAGGGGGTAGGTTGCCACCACTCTTCCCAAACTTATCACCGGACTTCACCATGAAGGAGGCGAGGAAGTCTCCCCGGTCCCTGGCTGGCATCTTCTTGCGAGAGCATGGATTGTGGGACTGAGGGCTCCCTCCTGCACTGGGAGGCTGGCATCCTTTGGTCTGCTTGGTGCCCATGGTAGAGCCACGCCACTAGGAGCCTCATCCGAAATGTCTGCCCAAGGCTTCGTGCAAAAGCGCTGGGTCTCAGTAGCCCCTGGGGGGGTGCGCACAGAACCCTCCGAGGAAATGCAGCACCCAGGAGTCGCAGGGCCGGCCCTAGGGATGCGGAGCTGGAGGGGCTCGCTCACCAGTAGGAAATCCAACCAACATGGCCCCTCGGTGCCGCCAGCGGAGAGCAGGACTCGAAGCACAATCCAGGGAGCGTCTCACCCCCGGCCCCAGAGCATCCCGCGGGCGGGCCCCCTGCTCCCCGCTGCTCCCCA